GCAAGCGCTGCCGTCGCAGGTCTTCGCAGCCACTGCGCAGGAAGCAGGCCAGCCCGCGTGAATGATGAAACCCCGCAGGCCCACAGCAACGGGTACCTCGAAGCCCTCGGGGAGGCTACGTGAGCCCATGCCAAGATCTCGTGGCTGCCACTCTCAGAGGTGCTGAACCTGTAGGTCTGCTTACGCCTCAGCTGTAGCAGCGCCGTTTCGCCTGCGAGCGCGGTGTGCCCACAGTGGTAACCCGCTCGCGCAGCGGCCCCTGTTGCTTAAGCCTCTGCTCTGCGCGCAGGCGTCGGAGCGCTTTGCCACTCTGGCTTGCCAATTGGCTTGCCATCTTGGCTTCCTCTCACGCCTACTTGCGCTCGTGAGCCTCGCTGGCGGCGCTGGGGTCGCCCCGTGTGCTGCCGCGACGCCGCTGGGCGCCCAGCCATTTTGGCTTGCCATCCTGGCCTCCTCTCGCGCCCACCCGCGATGGTTGGCCTCGATGGCGGTACTGGGGACGCCCCGTGTGCTGCTGCACCGCCGCTGTCGCTTTACTTTGGGCTGCAGGGACCAGCTGCCCTCGGATAAGCGCCCGCTGCTGTATGCACGTCAGACCCGCCCTTTCACCCAGAAGAGGTGCCCGCTACATACTGGCAATCAGGCAGCCACAAGGACGCTCTTCCCAAGGTGGTTGAGCCGTGGTGATGTGGTGCACGAAACCGCCAGTAGTAGTAGTAGTAGTAGCAGTAGCAGTAGTAGTAGTACTACTAGTAGTAGTAATAGTAGTAGTAGTAGTAGTAGTAGTAGTAGTAGTAGTAGTAGTAGTAGTAGTAGTAGTAGTAGTAGTAGTAGTAGTAGTAGTAGTAGTAGTAGTAGTAGTAGTAGTAGTAGTAGTAGTAGTAGTAGTAGTAGTAGTAGTAGTAGTAGTAGTAGTAGTAGTAGTAGTAGTAGTAGTAGTAGTAGTAGTAGTAGTAGTAGTAGTAGTAGTAGTAGTAGTAGTAGTAGTAGTAGTAGTAGTAGTAGTAGTAGTAGTAGTAGTAGTAGTAGTAGTAGTAGTAGTAGTAGTAGTAGTAGTAGTAGTAGTAGTAGTAGTAGTAGTAGTAGTAGTAGTAGTAGTAGTAGTAGTAGTAGTAGTAGTAGTAGTAGTAGTAGTAGTAGTAGTAGTAGTAGTAGTAGTAGTAGTGTAGTAGTAGGAAAGGTAGTAGTGAAGTAGTAGTAGTCGTCGTCGCAGTAGTAGTCGCAGTAGTAGTAGTAGTAGTAGTAGTAGTAGTAGTAGTAGTAGTAGTAGTAGTAGTAGTAGTTGTAGAAGTAGTAGTAGTAGTGGTAGTGGTGGTAGTAGTAGTAGTAGTAGTAGTAGTAGTAGTGGTGGTAGTAGTAGTAGTAGTGGTAGTAGTAGTAGTAGTAGTCATAGTAGCAGTAGTAGTAGTAGTAGTAGTAGTAATAGTCGTCGTAGTAGTAGCAGTAGTAGTAGTGGTAGTAGTAATAGTGGCAATGGCAATGGGCGGGCATCCCAACTGATCTCCGTGTCGCACTCCTCGAACACCAATCCCATCTCCGTGTCGCACTCCTCGAGCACCAATCCTAATCTTTCCGCAAGCAGCCTCGGTGGTTGTGTCGGGCTCGTGGTGTCATGTCCCCGCGCTGCCGATGTGTTGGGACTTCACTAAACCATACTTGTTCTTCAAATGTTTCGTCCTCCCGCCCAACTGAAGGGCCCGCGCCACAATGTGTTTGTTCTTCATGTATCCGCCCTGCGGCCCAACTGCAGCTGGGCCACGTACTCGTTCGGTCCCCAACTCCCGAGGCACGTCGCCACCACGGAATGAGGGGGTTCCCTTGTCGCGGAGCTGAGGGGCTTTCCTGCCAGGAGGGCTGGACAAAGATCTCCCCCTGATGCTGGGGCAAAGCATCTAGGCATGGATGGGAAGGGCCTAAGGGAAGGGCATCGGCCTGCTGCAGGCCTAGGGGAAGGACCTTGGGGTAGGCCTACGGCAGGCCGGGTGGAAGGGCTCCTGGGGCAGGTCTAGGGAGGAGCCTTCCCTCCAGGCTCAAGGGCCGCAGACCTCCAAACACCTCCTAAAGCAAGACTTCCAGAACGCGAGCATTCCCCTCACACGTTACCCCTGACAGCCGCAGCTGCCGCACCTCACCCCCCAGAGCGCTCCCGGCAAGGCGCAGCTGCTGGAGAGCATCTCGAGACTGGAAGAGAACCGCCGAGAACCATTGAACACCCCTGAAAACCTCCCCCAGGGCCCCTGGAAACCCAAGCCTACCCGCCGATACTTGACTACAGTCATCATACTACCAGAATGAACGCTGCATGCGGAACGAAAGGGATCTTCTGTCCACGGAGGGCCTCGGCCACGAAACCTGAGAAGCAAAGCCCTCCTAAGCCCGAAAAGGTTCTTATCTCAACGCTTTTATTGTACTTAGACGCCAAACTTATCCGGGAAAACTCCGGTCCGGGTCTGGGCCTCCGACGCCTGAACCAGCAGTTGCCTCTGACCGCTGCCCCACCCCGACGATTCGGTCGTGGTTGGACGCCCGAATTATGCGGGATAGCTCTGGTCCAGGGCAGCTCCAGTTGTTGCCCCCAAACCACGACTCAGTAGTTACCCCTGACCACCCCAAGCCTTGATGTCTTGGGGCTCTAAAGTTACCTCGTCAAGCCCCCCAAAGTTGCTTCTGAATTTCAAGGAGTAGTTGGCACAGGGACAAACAAACGCCGATCCCGAGGAAGAAGTTGGAAAAACGATGGGATTTGAGGGGCAGACAGAAATCTATAACATCCAACGCCTTGACTGCAGCCCCCCCCGAAGTTCTGCCCCCGAGCGCCGCAGCTGCCGCAGCACCTTTGGACGCCCGAATGGGAACGAAGAAACTGAGTGCTATGCCCAACAGAAGGTGTTAGCCCAAACCGACAGCGGCGGTTTTTGGGCAGGCGGCGGCCGCGGCGACGCCGTCAACGAACCCTGTTCCGAATGAGCTTCGTGGAACAAAACACGCATTATAATCAACTGCGAACTTGGTACCAAGCGACACATGCCGCGTGTCCACCTACCGTGTGCGTGTTTGTCCACCATGTCCACATGTTTCAAACATGCGTGCGCGCATGTGTGTGTGCGTGTGCGTGTGCGCATGCGCGTGCGCGTGCGTGCGTGCGTGTTTGTGTATGTGTGTGCGTGTGTGTGTGTTGTGTGTGTGTGTTGTGTGTGTGTTGTGTGTGTGTGTGTGTGTGTGTGTGTCTGTGTGTGTGTGCGTGTGTGCGTGTGTGCGTGCGTGCGGGCGTGCGGGTGGGTGGGTGGGTGGGTAGGTGGGGGGGGGGAGGCGCATGCGGGCGGTCCCACTGGGGGGCTTCGGTGGGCCCCCCTGATGGGGCCACGAAACATTGTACTGGGTGGGTGGAACAATCCCAGCTTAGGTATGTGGGACGCATGCGGGCGGTCTCACTGGGGGCTGCGGTGGAGCTCCTTGTGGGGCCACGAAGCGCTGTACTGGGTAGGTGGAAATTCCAAATTGGACTTTCGGGGCGCGCGCGGGCGGTCCCACTGGGGGCTTCGGTGGAGTTCCCGATGGGGCGCGACAAGCTGTACAGGGTTGGTGAAACTGCTATATTGTGCTTTCGGGACGCAGGCGGATTGTGGCACTGGGGCCTTCGGAGCTCCCCATGGGCCTCGAAGGGCTGTACTGGGTGGGCGAAAATGCAAAATTGAGTGTTCGGGACGCACGCGGACGGTCCCACTGGGGCCGTCGGTGGGGCCCCACGGGGCCACGAAGCGCTGTACTGGGTGTGCGGGACGCATGCGGACGATAGCACTGGGACCTTCGGTGGGACCCCCTATGGGACCACGAAGCGTTGAGCACTGGATGGGGGGCGGGAGGGACGCATGCGGATCGTGGCGCTGGGGCCTTCGGTGGGGTGTAAACTCGCTGGGGCTGGGGCCCTCGCTGAGCTTCTCCAGTGGGCTTCTCTGGTACGGGGCCACGAAACGCTGTAATGGGTGGGTGAAACGCAGGGAGGAGGGATGATGGGGGCCACGAAGCGCTGTACGGGGTGGGGGGGGGCGCATGCGGACGGTAACACTGGACTTTCGGTGGGGCTCCCTACGGGGCCACGAGACATTGTACTGGGTGGGTGAAGCGCAGGGAGGAGGGGGAGGAGGGGGGAGGAGGAGGGGGCGGAGGAAAACGCGGGGGCCCTTCTTTCAAAACGAAGACCCAACACCACAACATGGCTGGGAAATACAAGGACACGGGCAATAGAAGGCGCCCGCGAGCCGCTCCATTCGAACAAATACGGGGGAAACGGCCCCCGGGCGGCCATTACATTCAGGGTCCCCGCTCATCGCCCCTCCACTGGACCCCTCCCTTTCGGGCTTCGCCCCCCACACTAGAACGTCATCACTCGTACCTCGATCTTTCCGTTACCTGGGCCGGCACTGGAACGGAAAGAGGGCATCAGGAGCTTGCCCGGGATGGCTCATGGCACCCTGCGCTCTTGGGAACCTTGCGTTAAGGGTTGGTTACGTCACCGCTCGCTCTTGGAAGCCGTGGTATTCAGAGATGGTTACGTTGCCGCTCGCTCTTGGGAGCCTTGGTGGTCAGAGATGTTTACTTTGCCGCTCGCTCTCCAGAGCCTTGGTGTTTAGAGTTGTTTGCGTAATCTTTCGGTCTTGGGAGCCTTGGTGCAACGAGGTTGTCACGTCACCGTTCGTTGTTGGGAGCCTTGGTGTGAAGAGCTTTTGGTGTTACCGAACGTCGGGGCGGCCGCGGAGGGACACGCGACGGGGAGAAGGATCCATAGATACTTCGAGGTACCCGGAGCCCTTTATCTCGTGCAGTGGCGAGAACCACGTGGACGATGGCGACGGCGACGGCGGCCGGCGCGGCTCATACGGCGGAGCGAGGAAAGAAAACACCACTTGAATCGCCGAAAAGGCCGGAATGAAGAGAAAAGCGCGAGGAGTACGAGCAGAAGGAAAAATTAGGGTACCGAGGAACCCCACATACTTATCTTGATGGCTGGAGTGATGATAGCTGAAGTGAAGCATGTGAAAATGATGTTGGTGACCGTTGGGCGCTCGCGGAGGCGCGGACATGGCACATTTGGGCGCCGTGACGGGCGCCGCACCTTTGACGGACAATCACCGTCGCGAGCACGCCTGCGTGCAAACCCGAGCGGTCTGAGCTGGCACGAGCCAAGGTGGCTGAAAATCTGGGTGGTGATCCCATTCACCTCGCTTGCGTCCCCCTGTGCCCTGAGCACGACCGGCACGGGTAGCAAACTTGTGTACAAATGTGCCGTGAGCACAACCGTCATGGATAGAGGCCGCCCTCAAGGACCACCCCCATGCGCGCCCCCCTGTGATGTCGAGAACAACGCCACGCCTGCTGTGCCCTGGACGACCGTCACGGATAGCGGCCGCGCTCAGGGACCACCACGTGCGCACTCCGTTTGCGGTGTCGAGAGAACGCCACGCCTTCTGTGCCCTGGACGACCGTCACGGATAGCGGACGTGCTCAGGAACCGCCCATGGCGCACCCTTTTGCGGTGTCAAGAAAACGCCACGCTTTCTGTGCCCTGACCGACCATCACGGATAGCGGACGTGCTCAGAAACCACCCATGACGCACCCTGCCACGCCTGCTGTGCCCTGGACGACCGTCACGGATAGCGGCCGCTTCACGGGCCACCCCGTGCGCACCCCCTGTGGTGTCGACAATATGCCGCGCCTGCTAGGGCAAGGGCGACGGTCACGCATAGCGGCCGCGCTCAGGGACGCCCCCGCGCGCACCCCTTTGTGGTGCCAAGAAAACGCCACGCCTGCCGTGCCCTGGACGACGGTCACGGATAGCGGTCACCCCGTGCACACCCCTTGTGGTGCCGAGAAAAACGCCTCGCCTGCTGTGCCCTGGACGACCGTCACACATAACGCCGCGTTCAGGGACCACCCCGTGCGCTCCCCCTGTGGTGTCGAGAAAACGACACGCCTGCAAGGGCAAGGCCGACCGTCGCGGATAGTGGCCGCGCTCAAGGACCACCCCGTGCGCACCCCCTGTGGTGCCGAGGAAACGCCACGCCTGCCGTGCCCTGGACGACCGTCACGGATGGCAGCCGCGTTCAGGGACCACCCCGTGCCCACCCCGTGTGGTATCGAGACAACGCCACGCCTGCTAGGGCAAGGACGACCGTCACGGATAGCGGCCGCGCTCAAAGAACACCCCGTGCGCACCCCCTGTGGTGTCGAGAAAACGCCACGCCTGCTGCGCCCAGGACGACTGTCACGGATAGCGGCCGCGCTCAAAGACCACCCCGTGCGCACCCCGTGTGGTGTCGAGAAAACGCCAAGCCTGCTGCGCCCAGGACGAGTGTCACGGATAACGGCCGTGCTCAGGGACCACATTGTGCGCACCCCCTGTGATGTCGAGAAACCGCCACGCCTGCTATGCCCTGGACGACCGTCACGGACAGCGGCCACGCTCAGGGACCACCCCGTGCGCACCTCCTGTTGGCGCGCATGTATTCCAAGTGGTGTCGAGAAGACGCCACGCCTGCCGTGCCCTGGACGACCGTCACGGATAGCGGCCGCTTCACGGGCCACCCCGTGCGCACCCCCTGTGGTGTCTAGAAGACGCCACGAGGAAGGTGTCAACAAGTGGCGGTCGCGCTTTGGGCCTGTGGTTGTCCTGCGAATAAAGACCGCGCTGAGGGACCACCCCCTGCGCAGAACCTCCGGTGTCGAGAAAGTGCCACGCCTGCTAGGCCCTGCGACATTGGCGCGTATAGAGACCGCGCTGAGGGACCACCCCCTGTGCACCCCCTCTAGTGGCAAGATAGTGCCACGCCTGCCGAGCCCTGCGCAACCTACGCGTGTGTTTTGCGTATGGCGTGTCCTGTGTATGTGTATGATGCGTGTGCGGCCGTATCTGGACGTGTGTCTCATGTGGGTGCCCAGTATGTGGTGCATACGCCTTGGATGTAGCATGCAGTGAACACGCCAGGCGTGCACTAGCGTTGTATAGCGTATGCTGTGTGTGTGTGTGCGAGTGTGCGAATGTGTGCATGCGTGCGGCTGCATGTAGACGCGTGTTTGATGCACGTGCCATGCATGGGTTACGTGTGGGTGAAGGGAGGAAGGAAGTGGAGGAGGGGAGGAAGGAGGAGGGAGGGGAGGTGTGCGTGTGTGCGGGAGACCCGGGTACGACGCGGAAGGGATGAAACTCCACATGTCCTTTTCTCGTGCAGCGGCGAGCCATATTGGGGCACCTTTGGGCCGTCTTGCGGCCGTTTGGGGCCGTCTTGGGGCGGCGTCTTGGATGGCCTTCTTGGGGCTCTCTTGGCGGCCTCTGGGGGCCCTCTTGGGAGCCTCTTCGAGCCCTATTCGAGCTCTCCTGGGGCCGTCTTGGGACCCTGTTGGGCCGTTTGGGGTTCCTCGTGGGCCGTCTCGCTGTGAAATGCAAAGAAACGAGTATGCTAGAAACCTACGTTCCCGAATGGAATGGGACGATGTTTGCCTCTTGGGGGTCCCCTTTGGGGGCCTCTTGGGGCGTATGCGGGGCCTCTTGGGCTGCCTGAAAGCCATGCTGGGCCCTCGTTGAGCGCTCTTGACCTCTCCAACGCCGTCTTGCAACATCTTGGGTGCTCTCAAAAAAACTTTAATCTCCACGCCACAATGTTTCCTCCCGAACGGCGCGGCAGGCGACGCGCCAAACGCGCGCCAGTCACCAGGCGACGCGCCAAACGCGCGTCGACCAGGCAAACGCAAGCAAGGTGGAGACGCCAACCACGCCCTAAATACAGGTCGGCGCGCCAAACACGTGCATGAACACAAAATTACGATGATGGTGATTGACGATGGCGACACTTGAACACACTCGTTTGCAACCTCATGCCTCGGACACGTCCGGCGTCTGGTAACCGAAGCAACTCCAATCGTATTCATACAACTCTGATGCGCACACGCGCTCGATAACCGATGTGAGCGACTAGTGTGTTTGCCCCAGGAAACAGTATCCTCCCTTTTGTGGTCTGCGTTGAATTTGCAATGACGGGCCAATCCTCGCCAAGAGTTTCTGCGCTGCGAAGGAAATCTGAATGAACCGGCTGTTGGGGCCCACGCTCTGCTACTATCTGGCAAGATCCTCACGCGAACAGATCGCTCAGTATGTGTAGCAAGGCCTGGTTCCAAACGTCTGGAACTCCTGGCAAGCACCAATGCTGGCAATCATTTTTGGTGATCTTGCCGGGTAAATCATTGGAGACTTCACCAGGATGAGCATCTGCTCGTCCCCAGCTCATGGCGGTGATATCGAAAATACGAACACCGAACTTCCAGTCTGGATTCTTGGCAGTGGAACGCAACATCGAGTTTACTGCTTCGATGTCCGAGAAAGACGCAGATCCTAAATCGGCGTACTCACTAATGTTATTCACTGGCCCCGTCTGTCCGTTACAACTGCCATGCGAATCCCAATCGCCATGAAAGAAATGCCCTGGGCTATAGGTTTGTAAAATGACGTCTCCTGTGAATGCCATCTTCTCTAATGTGCGAAACACAAGTTCAATAGCAATGGTGAATGCCTCAATATTGATACGTCCACCCGTGTCTTCGAGAGTCCTGTCTCTATAGTGATATGTGTTGCCACGACGCGCAAAATGGTGTCCACCACCGAGCATCAGGATAGAGCTGTTCAATAACTTGCCAAACGTGCCCGTGGTAGAAATTTCGTCAAGCTCCACAGCGCAACCACTCAGTCCCAAACTATCGTGATCGCGCTCAATGGGAAATTGCTCTTTTGCTGCCGGCTCATTAGGTGCACCACACCTATGTCCAAGATACCGGTCAAAGTCAAAATGTATGTTATCAACCGTTGGCATTAACATGCGCAATGATTCGTAGGTGTTGCGAACTAGCGAATCCCCGACCATGAATATGGGACGCCGAGAAAAGATGTGCTGCATTTTGCTTGCGTTGAAAAGTGGTAACTCACAGTCATCTGGAACCCATGCGTATTTAGTAATGTCATCTGATTTGCTGCGGGGGCATTTGAATTCTCCGTCGACATGAGATATGTCATACAATGGCGGCTTCGCTGACATCTGCCATCTCCCTTTCGTCAAATCGCATGGCGTTGTCCCATTCGCCTTCAAGTGCAAGCTCAAAGCTCCTATATCGCACAAACTTAAAAAAATTGAGTACACAATCGGATTTGACCTCTTTGATATCATTGCCGATGCTGGACTGTACTATTCCTTACGTACGAAGGGCTGATGGTTGATACTGGCTTAACGGCGTGGGGAAACAGGGCTTCAGCCAAAATTGCTTGAGCCAAACTGACT